CATCTACGTAGATTGAATGATTCAAGAAGAAATATAAACAACAGTAGGAGAAGCTAGCTGCCATTGAGATGGACTTGGCATACTTATCATAGCGCACCCTAATTTAGAGACTTACGACATTCGTTAGATTTAAATTATCTTGAGTTGAATAAAACAAACTCAATACAAAATTGGGTTAGTAATTGCAGTTTCAAGATAATTGAGTTGAGCTAACTAGGTAACATAACTTTAAGTTCAATTTAGCTAAGCTTAGCATACTATTTAATTTGATTTGATGAGTTTGTCAAATTGAATTATGCAGCATTCGTTTGATTCCAGCCAATTGGACTCTTAGGGTTCTCTAGTCGTCTTAGATGATATAAGAGGCTTATCGATTTTTATTTAGCTTGTTTGTCTTCGTATTGATAGCTCAAATTAGCAAGATACGCCCACTGAATCAACAAAGTTTGAAATCACTTAATGAAGATTGAAACCGGGTTCGCACCACCTTATCTAAGCATGTTAAAAAGGAGTTTGAGTACGCTCAGCATGCTCGATTGACGCAGCTTGGACACCTTTGAGGCAAAAGCCCGGGATTTGGCCGAAGATTTACGATGGCTCATTGAGGTGTAACCTCGAGCGCAGCGTTTATATCAATCTTATCTTTATTTTGGTTTGAAGAGTTGGAGCACCTTATTAGATTTAGGGCTTCATCGGTTTGCAAATTTGTTCAATCTTTAGCCCCCTCTGCAAACTTGTAGCGGAATGAACGCTCTCTTGGCTTCGTGTGCACTGCTTCGCCTCAACTACTTCGGCCCGCTTCTTAGGATGAGTTCTTCATGATTGAGTAACCAACTCCATCTACCTTCAAGACCCATGTAAGTTGTGACAATCTTGAGAAGCAATTATGAAAATTTAAGGCTGTGATTCTCTACATGAGGGCATTCATATAATTAGATTCAAGCTTAATTATATTTGTTAAAGTTTAACAATTTCAATCTATCTATTGCTTTTTAAGTTTGGTCAAGTGAAGTATCAGTTGGGTCCACGACAATTCTTTTTATAGTTTTAAGCACCAGCTATAAGTTGTGTTTGCTATCTTATTCTTTACAAACAAACGCAAATTTTAGCTGCCAGGGTTCTTAATTGCAACGCACATTTTAATGAATGGTCTCCATTAATTTTTTCTTTCTTTAATCGTAATTGCTATACTTATCACTCTTTTTTAATTCTATGATTGAATTGCCTCATATCAAGATCTTCTTTTAAAAATTGATTGATTGATCGTATGAACAGGCATCATTTAGATGGGCTAAATGGGTTGACATTGAGGAGAAGAGTGATTATTTGTACCGATATTTATTTTGAATCTTGTATTCTAGTAACATCTTATTTTCAATATCCATTAATTTCATAATCTACTTCAATATTTGTCATGTTACAGTTATTATATACTTTTTTAGTTTTACTTTAATTTTTTTTCATTTTGACGGCTTGCCTCACTTTTAAGCAAATCGCTTGTCTCTGATACGCCTCTTTTAAACTTGATCTAAGTACTATGAATTCATTAGACTTTGAAGTTGTTCAGCTATGTCAAATAACCTCTATTCATCAAGCCATTTGATTGAGGTTAAGTTTGACAAAGCTAGGTTGGCTTGCTCAGTTGTCATTTAGGCAAATTAATAAGGAAATTCAAGATGGGCCCAATGGGTTTACGTAACAAGCATTTTAAAATTGACTAAATATGAAGGCTCGTCAATGCATTTCAATGAAAACACTCGAGGCTTACCCTAAACTTGGTTTGATGAAGACTTGACCTCAGCTGGGGCGAGACTTCTGAGGGCATCTTGCCACCTGCATAAGCGGTACACCTCACCCTTTATAAGATTTGCTAATAAAACTACACTAATCCCAAAACTTAAAGCCCTGGAACCAAAATCACACTTTCTAGAGTCCGACGGATCATACAACTTCCTTTATTGCTCACCTCCGGCCCACGCCTTTCGCTGCACAGCCACCACGCGAGCCGCGTCAGGGATCACTGAAGCCTAATACCACCAACTCTAAAATTTGGAACTTAATTCATCTTTCTGTTGGTGCATAACATTTATGAAAGATGAAGATGACTGAAAATAAGAGAAGCCGATTGAGAGAGTTGGACTCACAGATGAGCAGTGGAGAGACAATTTATGTGACGACTCAAAATAGATTCCCTCAATTAATGATGTGTGTGATTTCTAAGTCGTAACTATTTAGCTTCTTTAGAAATTAATTTGGATGACTATTGAAACTAAGAAAAGAAGAAACTTTTGTGAACCTTGATGTATATATGATCCTTTATGCAATTCTATATATTTAATATTATTTTTGCTCTTAAATTTTGATTTCAAGTTTATTTCTTGCATATTTCACTTGCCAATTTACTTCTATACAATTTTTTTATTCACATGTATGTCCAATTTCTGACTTATATTCAAAAATTAACATGCCATCATTGTAAAATATTATTTGTGTTATTACATAAAAAACACATTTAACCTTATTTCATTTAAGCAATTGTTTGATTTGAGGCTTACACTCAACATCTTCGAGGCTTACGAACAAAAATGCCTCAACATAATTGTCATTTAAACCTTCACAAAGTAAGTTCCAGTAAAATAGCAGTTCACTGCCCTTATGCAAGAGGTAATCTGATCGGTCCATAGGCTTTTGGTTGGGTGACAGTGGTTACACATTAAGCAGCGATCTAGGTTTCCATCAGGTCCTAAAGCGAATATTGGTAATAAGCGCTTGTGGAGTCTGTGACAGGCAAATTTAGGATGTACTCTTGATCCAAGGTTGATTTAGTCAAAACTTGGTGATTATCAGGGTAGCCCATGTGGTCCAGTGCCTTTTACCTTGATGTTTTAGAGCACTACACATTGGATTACACTTAAGATAAAAAAAAAACATAATATAAAAGAAGAATGAAGAATGCACAAACCTGAGGATTCAGCCATGTCATGATCCTTAGAACAGCCACGTGCATACTCAGTCTCACACTAACAAAAACACATATTTCAATAAAAATGTGCCAATAACAAGGATACTGGCAAACAATTAGAACATAAGAAAAAAAGACGAAGTAAGTGCAACCATTTTAAAACAATTAACCTTGAGCACACTAATAACAGTACGCCGATCATTCCAGAAACTACTAAAATCATGCTGTTGGAACAGTGTAAAACCATAAGTATGAATTAATTTACGTTCCAGCCCGCAGAAAAAACCCACAAAATAAATCAGCTACGAGAATGGGCAATCAAACTCAATATTTTCCACAAGTTATGCATAATGTCAGTGCTAGCACCAATGTAATTAAAAACAAAAAGCAGTACATAAAAACTCTCTAGCATGAAACAGGTCACCAAACACTATAAGTGTTGAATTTTGATAACAAAAAGGTTAAATGCTATTTTGCCACAAAGATATGAAGCCAATTCATTCGCTTGAGTGAAACTTCGAATTCATATTTAACTATCAAGCTGCCTAGTTGGAAGGAAATACTCACATAA